CTCGGTTCCCTGAGATACGGGAACGAGTACTGCGTTGCTAGTAGTGCAATGCAGCTGCACGACTCAGTCGTCTCTTCAGTCAAAGTAACCTGAATCCTATGGCGAAGCACCCGCTTATACAGTCAGATGGCCCCGCCCATTCTGACGGGCTTCGTGGCCATATGTTCGTGCAGCACCGCTGCCGAGCCATTGGTTCGTTTACTGTAAAGTATACTGCACGAACCAATGGCCGTGCAGTTACACTGCGTTATTAAAAAAGGCTTCAGTTAGGATAAAAAAAATGACTTTTTCCTGTATCTCGGGGAACCGAGGTTACGTTTGTAACCCGAGTACATTATTTATTTTTTTACATGGTTTTTAAGTGGACGATGGATGCATTTTTCTCAGTCCTGTTACCAAAACTCTTATGTCTATTAAACAGACATCAAAACACCCGACCGCTGCATGAACATATGATACACAAACTACAGCTCTCAGCTGGATAAATCAACCCAGTGTCGCGCTAGTAAAGTTTTGATAGATGACAATTGTAATCAAGGTAAAGATGATTACAGTGACATACAAGAGTCGTACATTAGGCACGTGTTTATCCGTTATTTTTGATGCGCAACTGAACCGTGTAACGTTATGTGTGCTGTTGGCGCACTGATCACTAAAACATCATGTTTCTGCTTGAACACAGTTCAGTATATTGACGCAGTTGTCAAAAATTAATGTACAGCGAGTATTTTATAATGGATGCTCACAAAAGAGGCGTTTTGGAGAAATTTGTGAGGATCAGTGGTTTGTGTTTGGAGCGTTTGATGCTCATATGTACATAGACACAATCGCTTGTTCTGACAACTTTTTAATCACTGTTCACTAATAACGTTGAGCTGCCTTCAGATCGCTGAGTCTCCACACATGCAGAATGTTTTCATTTTTCATTTGTATTTTGATGTGTTCAGTGATTTTGAATAGGGCTGTATAGTAGTTTATATGCAGTCCTTTGGGACCTCCCTGTGGTCTTGATTGGTAAGGCAGGTTGGCTTGTGCTTATTTGTTAAAGTTACTTTATAATTGAGCTTTAGGTACTTTTAAGTAGCGGTATTAACCATGCATTATCTTGGAAATTAAGCTTCATTGTCTTTAAGTCTGTACTGTATGTAGTCAGCATTATTTCTCTAAATGATGTTATGATGTATTTCTTTTTGTCCTAATTGAGCAAAATCTATTTCAGACGTGCAAATTTTAGCATTACGGTTTCCATAGGAGTAACACAGTGATCCTCAAATCTGGCTCGCGAGATCCACTTTCCTGCAGAGTTTAGCTCCAACCCTATAATCAAACAAACCTACCTGTGATTTCCTAATGATCCTGAAGACATTGATTAGCAAAAAAGATTAGGTGTGTTTGATTAGGGTAGATCTAAACTCTGCAGGAAAGTGGATCTCGCGAGCAAGATTTGAGGATCACTGGAGTAAAAAGTTATGTATATATTAATTAATAAATTAACCAACATTGAAATCAACTGCATCAAAATTCATGCAGTTAATGAAATCATTGTTGAAACATTTGCAGTTACAAATAAAAACAATATAACAATTACATAAACAGTTAATAATTGTACAAAGTGAATTAAGGTATATGCACAAAGAAAGTATAAAATTTTATTCAGATTTCAGAAAAAGCACATTATCATTTGTAATACATTTGTTGAGTATCTCATCCATGTTCATAGTGCTCATCTTATGTTCGCTACTGTAATGAATATAATGTTTTTTTTTTTTTAATAGGCACTACGGTCACATGGACTTAAACACGCACGCAGCCGCCTTAAAGTCATGAAGACACATCAGATTGTCTCTAATATATCGCTTTAATTCAAACTAATTTTCATAATCCTCATAAATCAAACTCAATTGAAAATAAAATTAGATTAATCTCACAGCCCTAAAGTACAAGAGAGACCTCGCTTCTGGATTGCAAAATAACAAAAACGCGTCAGTAATGAATGTCTTGATATTATCGCATGTAGAAACGGTTGGCAAGATACAGTTAGCTTGATAATATTTATGTAGCAATAACAAACTCTAAGTGTACATACTTCATTTCCCCAGCACCAAAAGCAGAACAGTTAACATTCGCTTTTCAATACTACAGTCTTTTGTAATTTAGCCCCAGATCTCATTTAATACCGGGTTCAGGTCTTCATTCCTACTTAATAGAAGCACAGAAGAATCAGTTTCAAAGCTACATGACAGCATGACAGCAAGCAGCATTTACTACACAGAGCTGTACTTCACTGACAAGCTACGCAATATCGCGTTGATTATCGGCGATGATTCGCCTGCGATTATGAATGCGATATTGCGTAGCTTGTCAGTAAACTACGGCTCTGTGTAGTACAATGCTGCTCCATCTGAAAGCATGTGATGGAGATTTACTACTAATCACAGAACCGGCTTTACTGACAAGATGCTGTAGCGAATCAGCTCATGGGGAAATATGAATAATTAATCATAACTAGTTATAATTAATTATAAATATTTAGATCCGCTGTAGATATTTAGCTGACCTCTCAGGGTCAACTGTCTGTCAATTCTAAGAACGTTAATTTCCTGGTTAAGGGAAATAACTTTCTTACTGTACAACTCTACACAGAGCTTGTAGCATAAATCTGCATGATTAGGGACTCCAGTTATGAGCAAACAACGAACAACGTCAAGTGTGATACAAATAAGACTTTATTAACTACATAAACACTTAAACTAGTCTAACATACTACATAAAATCAAATGAAAAATGGTGTGTCTGATTGGTCCAAACGCTACAATGCGCATGATAATCGCATTTGATTATTTGCACAGTCCTACATGACAGTATATCTTGCATATGCATTACCTAAAAATTATGCTGGGTACACTAAAAGATTTTAAAAAATCTTATAAGATCTTCAAAATGTGAGAGACCACAAACATCTTAGATTTAACCGTTTTGCTCCTATAGTGTGTGATGTCCTCGGGGTTCCCCCCCCACACATCAGGATTTTTCAACACGTTGAATATTTATGATTCGCTATTGGGGCGCCTCCGATGTTCTTCCGAGCAGATTCAGTCACTCTTAACACACCTCACACCACAGGAAAATCTGACAAGATAATCTTTAGAAACATCAAGTAAATCGGGA